GCCCATACCCAGCCCTAGCGAGGTGTGTCTGGTTCTGGGCTCCCCAGTAACAAGAAAGACAAGGAGCTACTGGAGAGGGGCCGGTGGAGGCCACGGAGCATCTTTCCTATGAGGAGAGATCGCAGGAGCTGGGCCTGTTAGTCTGGAAAAGAGCAGACTGAGAGGGGACCTCATCAGTGCAGATCAGGATCTCTTTTCAGTGGTGCCCAGTGGCAGGATGAGGAGCAATGGCCATAAACCAAAACACAACAAGTTCCCTCAACATGAGGATGAACTTCTTAATGCTGAGGGTTGGCATAATGCTGAGCCCTGGCACAGGCTGCCCAGGGGAGTCACAGCATCCCTCTCTTTAGAGACACTCAAAACCCACCTGGGCTCCTGTGTAACCTGCTCTGGGTGGCCCTGCCTTGGCAGGGGTTGGACTGGACGATCTCCAGACATCCCTTCCAACCCCTATGGTTTTGGTACCCTGAGAAGATGCTGCAGAGAGCAGCGCAGGTGTTGCTCCTGCTGGCAGTTAGAAACGATGAGGATGCTGGTACCCAGGTGAAGGTGGGCTCTGCAGTCGGTGCCGGCCATCCTTGTCTCTGCCAACCACACCCCAGTGTTCACATCCGACACCAGTGACACCGCTCACAACCCCGTCCTCTCCTTCTTTGCCTCCCTCCAGGCCTCGCCTGCGAGCGCGACCGCTTGACATTCGCCTTCTGCCAGACCCTGCGGCTCCTGGGCCGGTGCCACCTCCCCACGGTCCATGTCCAGTGCTGCCGGAGCTGCCGCCAGCACGGGCCCCGGGAGCGCGGGGACGAGCGGGCCTCCCGGAGGTGACAGCACCGTCCCCACGGACCAGGGGACCCGGACCCACGGTGCTCATCCCCCCGGGAAGGGCTCGGTTCTTGTGCCTGTGCTACACTAACGGTGCTCAACCATCGCTCTGAAAGTAAGGTCTGGCGTGGGCCGGGTGTGCGGGTCCCACCGCTCCCACGGGAGGTGCTGGGGCAGCCGGGACCCTCTGCCAGGGTCCCACTGCTGCTTTGGGGATGGGAAACTGAAAGCAGCAACAGTCATGGGAGACCTCTCTGCCGTGCTCATGGTGCTATCATTGGACACTCTCAGCCTCTCGATGGTGTTGGCAGGCCAGCACAAACCCCCTGACCTTTATTGTTATTTTAGGTGCCTGAAGGAGCACTCAGCGCTCCAGCAGCGCAGCCACCGCTCGGGTTAGAGCATTGCCTTTACTCCTTATGGGACTTGAAGCTGACAGCCCATTTCTGTAACTTGCATTAAAATGTTTACACACTGAAGCTAAACAGCCGTCATTTAGGATGTGGAGACAGAGCAGAGGAATAAAACATCGGCTTCGGTGACCCCCATGAGGCCAGAGCTCGTGGTAGGTGCAGAGGCTCCATCCCCTCATCTCCCCACTGCTGGCTTTCTCTGCTGAAGCCATTGCCTGGGTATGGTCAGGGACCCCAAGGCATGAGCGAGGTGACAAATGGGTCTGGAGTCCCACAGTGGGTGTGTTTGTGAAGGAGGGGAACGCTGCTCTGCCCCAGTGGTGAGCAGCAGAGCACTCACATCCCTGGGTTTCTGTATGCAGTTGTGGTGTAGCAGTTGAATGGTTGGTTAAGGTGTTTTTCTGTGTTCTTACAAGCTAAACCCCTTTATTCCTGCGTATATAGATTCACCTCTGTTAAGTTTAGCTGACTTTTTTAACTAGAGTATCCAATATTGCATGAAGAGTGGCACTCAGCCAGCACAGGGAGTGCCATGTGTAAAACCCTCCTGTCTTTGGGAACATTTGCTCTTGGGTTGGTCCCTGGAGGGGGGTCAGGAGCATTTAGGTAGGAATCCCTTTCCGTGTTATCTTCAGGCTATGAGAATGGCCAAAACTGGGGGATCCTGGTTGTATTGAAGGCTGGAGCCCAGCATCGGGCCCACAGCTCAGGGTGCTTTTCTTTGCCGGTGCTGCCAGGAACAACACTGAGTCCCAGAACGGGAAATTCCTGTGTGTAATGTGTATGTAAAACACAAGCCATGACTTCACCATTTGTGTTTGATTCCTTTCCAACATGGTGTAAATCTGTACGTCACAAGAGCCTGTGTCCAGTGCTGGTTTCCTTCGCACCGGCTCCATCCATCCCGTGCTTCTGTCACACTCCCAGGTCGTGCTAAGAGACAGCCACTGTGTCGGGGTTAATGGCTGGAGCTCATGGGTGTATTAAATTGAACAGTTACTGAAGGAAATAGCAGGGTTTCAGGGTTTCTCTTTCCCTTGGGGGATTTGTCCTTGAAGGCACGGTTAAGTGCAGCCAGTTCAGGCCCTGGCAGCAGCAGGGGGGTGGTTACTCTCACTGCAGCAGAAATGGGCCATCAGTTTGCATCTGGGCATCACTGAAAGCTGTGGTTTGCAGCTGGGGTTTGTGTGATTAAAACCTGAGCTGGGTCGATGGGGAAGATGCTGGTGGACCGAAAGGCTCCAGCTTCTGTGCCGTGTGCGTGCCTACAATGGCTTTACAAAGCAGTTCATTGCAGTGGTAACGGTGCTGGTGAGCATCCCCTGCAGTACCTGTCTGTGCAGAGCAGGTCCCTGCAGCACAGGGAATGTGGTGATGCACTGGTCATGCCAAGAACACCAGCAGAGCCTTCCCCTCTGTGCTCCCAAAGAGCCCAGACAGAAGGGAAGCCCTAAATCATGCTCCTCATTAGCGGTACAGGATGCGCGGCGACCAGCACCATTCACTTTGTCATTCTAAGATACTTTTGGTTCATTACTTCAGAAAGAGCCATTGAAGAGCAGCGCTGCGAGCTCACATGCTTCATTTGGCACACAGTAAAGGGGGGATTCCCCTCATTGTGAGCTCGAGCAATGGGGGTGTCCAAGTCTCCCCGACCTTTGGCCACTGGGTTTCACTTGGCCTGTTTGAAAACCAGCTGGTTTCTCCACTAGGCTGTGGGAGGTTGCAGGGAATTGTGCTCTTGCAGCCTGGTTGCCAACTCCAACTGGGTTAACTGGGGCTGAGGGCTGGGGTTTGAGGCAGGAAGGTACATTTATCCAGATTTTAAACAGCCACCTTGGCTGGGTGACTGGGAGATGGGTGACTGGGAGATGGGTGACTGGCAGCAGCATCCCAGCAGTCAGCACCAGGATGATGCTCACAAACACTTTGAGACTCCTCCTGACTGCAGCATTGCAGAACCTGCACAAGGTGTTAGGGCACTTACCTGTAGCTCGTGTTTTGCTGTTGCTTCTGTTTATTCACCTGAGAGGAGCCAGAAGCTTTGGCTTCAGGTTAGAAATCAGACATTGTTCCTCCCCTGGTCAGCTGCAGACACTTGCAGAGCTGGAGCCAGGAAGGAACCATGAGCTCGTTAGCTGGGAAGCAGCATTTTATGGAGGAGGTTGTTTATGTCTCATATTAACAATAACACTTGAACCACTTCCGCATCTCCAGCAGCATCTGGGTCACCCCATCAGAGCACCTGCGCTGTGCAGGCCCTCAGCCCTTTAACCAAGTGCTTCTGTCCAGACCAGATGATCTCAGCTGGAGTGTTCTAATCCCCAAAGTGCCAGGGGGGTCACCAACAACCAGTTGGACTCGATGATGTTAAAGGTGTTTTCCAACCTAAATGATTCTATGATGGGTGAGGGGTGTGGACCCATGCACAGGAGGAGGAGGCAAAGACGAGGAATAGCTCACCCCATCCTTCCATGTCTCTTCAGCTAAGAGATGGTTTAATTTCCCTTGTTCTTAAACCCTCTAGCCCTGTGTGACACAGACAGGTTTGCTCCCCCTCCCGATGAAGCACCCAGGAGGTGCCATCCTGGGGACAGGGAATCGGGTGCAGGCCGAGGTGGGCAGCGGGAGCCGGGGCAGGGGTGCAGCAGTTACCTACTGTGGTATCACTCTGCAACTTGTTGCTGCCCTCTGCAGTTGTCTCTCCTTATTGTAAATGCAAAATATTGGTAAATTATTGGGATAATTCTACCACTTTATGATAGTGAGTGAAGGCAGGGACACGGCCTGTCTACTCGGGTTTGGAGAAACACCCCATGTTCCTCATGCACCCCAAATCCTGCCCACGTGACCCTCCTTCCTTCTCCCCCACGCTGTGTAACGTTCAGCACTGCTGGAGCCCACTCAATCCTTTCATGCCTTGAGGAAAGCATTATGTGGCTCATCATTAAAATGGTTACAAATCCCTGAAATCTCAACAGACGTTTGCACTGAGCTCCCAGGAACTCTCAGTGTGTAACCAAGTTCAAGCCCACCAGACAATCCCTGTTTCACAAAGGAACTAAATCCCTCATGAACCGCTGCAGGAGGGACTACTCTGCACTGACCAGGAAACACACCCCTGAGATAGCCGAATAGTTCATGGGACATGTACCACCGAGGGCCTCCTGTGGCTGCACAGGAGCATCAGCATGTGCTGAGCATCACTCCCACTGGGATGACAGCTGAGAGAGCAACATCTGCCTAATTCGTCAGGAAAAGGTAAATCCATGGTCAAATCCACAGCTGCGATGGAATCCAACCCTGGGGAACTTCCCCAGTGAGCAAATGGTAAAGCTGGCAACAGTTGGGACAGCCCAGATCAGATTAGAGAGCAAGCAGCAACAAGAAACAGGACACTGGGAACCAGAGGGATGAAGGGCTGGGGGATTGTGTCACCTCTGCCTTACAGGGAAGTTGTTAAGACAAAGCAAGGTCAAACTGGCAAGATCTGTCCCGTAGGAAAGCTTTACCCTCAGGTAACAAGAAAGCAAAGCCTCCAGAGTCAGAAACATGAACTTAACAGTTGGAAAACCATAAATATTTAGCAGGAACAGTGCCCCAGTAAGGATCTACCTTGAATAGCCCAGTCCTTTGGTTCCAAACTCTTTTTCTGAATTCATTTCAGCTTCCCCCACGAGGAAGTTGAATGAAATGTTTCCTTCTCTAACAGCAAGCTAAACCTAAGCCTAAAGAGAAAGTCTCTGAGCTCAGAAAGCAGCATCTCCATACAAGAATCTCTTTTATTTTTACAGCGCAGTGATTGAAACAACGTAGAAATTCCCCTCTCAAAACTGCATTTACATCACAATGTCTGTCAGAAGGCAATGCCTGTGTGTTGCTCTGTTTTTAATCACAAAATACTTCTCTGGACACCAGAAATCAGAGTTCTGAACACTATAAACTTTACTATTCCAAAGACTAACTCGTCATAATTTAAATCTATCTTATAAACAATTCCTTTAAAAAAAAACATGGAAGATAAAAAGAACTCAAGTATTAAACTCAAGAATTTGATTATTATTATTTTCTCCATTTTTTAAACAAAGATACTTTAAGAAATGTATCAAAACGGTAAGTGTGGCTGCCCCAGCTGCTAGTCAGGCTCTGTGACACACTGCTCCACGATTTCACGCAGGTTCGGGTTCTCCATCGCAGCTGCTACTCTCTCCTTGTCATTGATTTGCTTGTTGACTGCAAAACACCACATGAGAAGGGAAGTCAGAAGCAGTTTCTTCTCAGTTTTCTCTTTAGGTGGAAGATGTTATTTGCATAATGCCCCAGCTGAAATCAGAACAAGAGCTGACAGGGCACTGGAAGTTCAAGTTACACGGGTGAGTATAAGCAGCTTGTGCCAGGCACAGTAGAAGGATGACAAGACAAGAAGCATATGAGGGTGCTCAAGAGCCAGCAGTCAAAGGAGAGAGGGTTAATAGGGGATTGGGAACAAAGCAAATGAAAGCTCAGTCACAAAAACAACCACCAGAAACCAAACGTTTTTGTTACTTTTCTAGTTCAGGAAACAAACGAAGATGCTTTAATGACATATCTTGAAATGAAGGGTGAAATTTGTGGCTAATTAGTACCCCAGGTGCTATTTCTAGTCACTGAATCAAAAAATACTTGATTTTTGCCAAAGACAGCTGATGCTTAAGAACAGAAAGTCCTGGGACACTGCCTGGCCAAAGGCTGTGAAAACCTCCTTCAGATGGTGATGGGCCACAGCTCTGCAAGAATTCCAGTGTCCTCTAAGCTTTATTTTAAACACTGATTGAGAAACATATATTTTTGTATGATGATGCTAAGATAGTGAGATTAACCAGTCAGGCAGCTCTTCATGTTAATTATTCAGCAGCACAGACTGCGGGGATTTCTGCTTGTTTCATTTTAAAGCTTTGACAGTGTATGCATTTAGACAAGGTTTGTAAGGTAGGGGAAGAAAAGGACTTCTCAAAAGCACACAGACACAAGGCTGAGGCAGCACTCATTCACAAGCTCCACTTACTGTCTTCTTCAGTGGAATGTGTACCTTCAGTTATGTAGATTTCCAGCTGGAGGGGAGAGCAGCAGTGTTAGATGCACACATCAACAGCTGAATATATTCATTCCTGGAGGAAAAACTTGCACAGCACACAAGCAGTGTTTGTCACGAACACTGCTACAAGTGTACAGACAATGGAAGGGGATCAGCAGCAAGAGCTGAGCTTAGACTTCACTGCAACACAGTCACAAGACAACCCCCTCCGTCATCTCAGAGCAACAGCACTAATACTTCAATTATTTGAAACACTGGATTTGAAATCACCCTCTTCCATCAGGCAAGAACCCAAATGACAGCTGCTGAGGTGAGGAAACCCCCTGAAGCCCAGCATTCAGACGTGCAGCAAGAAATGGTCTTTTGTAAAGGAAAGAACCAAGCTATTCGCAGATCCCTTCAGATGCTACACTGTGCTCCCAACATCCCCTCCCTCCACAGGCAAAGGACAAGCTCTAAAAAGACCCCACAGCTTGGAAGTTAGTTGACCCTGCAGCACACACCCTCTTCAAGAGAGCTTGGCATGCACTCATGTAGTTTAAAGGAAGTTCTACAAAAGGTACTTTACCTTATGTCTAAAAGGCAAACATCTCTGAAGTTTTATTCTTAAACAAAGGCCTGTTTAAACAAAAGAGAGAAGAGATTTTCTTCTAAAATTCAAGGTTTGAGGTGCATTTTCAGAGAGTTCACATTTAACAACCAGAAACCAGTATAATTGAGAACCTTCTTTTGTGTTCTGAGCAGCACAAGCCACAGGAGACTGAGCAGTTTGACCCTTTGGATGTGGCTTCTCAGTTAAGCTCACACCTGCCTGACAAGCTTAGGAGGTCTCTAAACACCTCTTTAGATACAGGAACGTGGAGGAGTGCTGTAGTTCATCTTTGGGAGTGAGATCTAAGTTCAGGGATACCCCAGCACCAGCCCTTTGCAGTTTCCCCACAAGGCCTGGCTTTGCGATGAGTTACACACAGACACAGCCACACCACAGCTCCAGTTTGTCCTTGGGCTGAGCCAGTGGTACCAGCAATAGAAGATACGCCCCAGAAGAGAAAATACTCCTCAATTAGAGTACTCTGTATAGACAGAGAAGTTTGGGAAACAAAACCCAAACTATTTACTGCCTCCATTCTTACATACACTACCCAGCTCTTCCCACAGCAGTGTCGTGTAACAGCAGGAGTTGCTGTGCTTCAAAGGTCACAGGACACTGATAACAACTCACAATCAAACAGCCACCACAGGTGTGGTGGACATTTAAGGGCTGAGAACACGATCAGCACAATGTTTAAGATCTGGTATGTGCATCATTGATCCTCAGGCCCGAGCCTTAACCCAGTGACATTCCTAACAGGGTCAGCCTATAAATAACTTACTAGTGCTTGGCATGCTAATGCTTTACTGCCTGTACTTTACTCCCTGCATAAACTTGCAAAGGTTTATTTAGGCATAAATACATGTACTTCTGCATTACATTAAAGACTTATTTTCCCTTGAATCTTTAAGATGCACTGGGAAGTCTCAGCATTGATATATAATGGTAAGAGATGATAATCTTGGCACATTTAAATCATTTTAGAGAACTCAGACATGATTTTCCAGATGCAATCTCAGCATAAATAAGAAAAAGAAAAAAAAAAGGAAAAGCAGCTAGTGTAGATTCTCATTCAACTCAATGGCTTCCAAACTCCTAAGGGTTCCGACCCTTCTTTGGTATCCTTGTTTTGCAGCGTGGGCTTGTTGTATGTGTGTGGGAATGAAGAACAGCCCTGCAGGTAAGGGGAAGATCAGAGAGATTTGGAGAACATGAAGAAGGAATTCTGGGCTACTTCCCACCAGATTTGAGAGCTTCTCTTTGAAGAGTTTCCCTAACTTGCTGAAAACAGATGGGTGTCCCCACATTTCCTCTGCTTTTGTGTCTGTTTCACTGCTGGCAGGGCTCTCAAGATGGTCAAACTGCTGACAAAGAAATACTCACTTTTAACCAAGACCGGTATTATTCAAACAACCTAAAGTTAACTTTACACTCACTGATGCAGATGTAATGAAACGGGAATCTTACCAATGAGAGTAGCCAAAGAGCAATGAGGTACTGTTGGTGTAAACCTGATGATAACCAGATACTCCTCTTCTCCTATCTCCTGCACTTCAACACAGTTTTCTGTTACCACTTCCAGTTCTTCCAAAGTATTTGGCTTCTCCGGGTCCCGGATAGTACGGATTATATCTACAGCAGAGCACAAGTGACCAACGATAAAGGTGAAAGGCTCTTTTATTAGAAACCAGCCTTTCTGTTGTTTGTTTGCCACTCCTTCCCCTTTTATTCTTTTTAGATAAAGCTGCAGGGTGCTGCATAAACTCCTCAATGCCTACAACCCAGCAGTGCCTCACAGCTCAATGATGCGTTTGGAATCCTCCAGGATCCTCAATGCAGCATTTCCAGAGGTAAAACCTCTCCATACTTTACAGTAACAGCAGTCACTCAGTAACAGCGATCTCCTCTCCACTGGCTCACTGGCTGACCCTTCTGGAATGACTTGCCTTTCCAGGTGTGTCCAGCTCCTTTTATCCAAGGTGATGAAACATTCCGGGAAGAAGCAGCAGCAGCACCCACGGCTCAAAGGGAGCAGGGATTCAGTTCCCAGCACGTTCCTTGCTCCGCATCCCACTAACAGGGACCGTGGCACATGCCCCGTCCCAAGGTCACAGCATCCAGCCACAGCCGGGGGCTGGCGGTGGGGCTGGGGGAAGCTCGCAGGCGCCCACGGGAGGCGCTTCCCGTGCTCCCCAGCACCCCAAGGGTGCCCCCTCCGCACCCCACAGCCCTGACAGCGGTTCCAGCCCTCAAGCGGGACAAACACCCTGCCCTCCAGCCCCACTCCCCGAGCAGCCGCCTGCACCCCAGCCTCTCAGGGCCGCAGGGCTCCACACGCACCCCCTCGGCGCCCACGGGGGCTGGTCAGGGCAGGGCCCTGCTTTCCCTCACCTCACCCCGCCAAGGGCACAGCAGCCGCGGCCGCCCTGTCCCCCCGCAGCCCCCCGCTCCTTCACCATCCGTCCCACAGCCCCTGCCCCATAGCCCTCTCGCCCCAGCCCTCCTCGAGGGACCCCCCGACACTCACCGTAAACCTCGAGCGCCTTGTCCTGCTCCATGGCGTGGCTCCGCGGGGCATGGCAGCCCCTACGCAGCCCGGAGTACCTCAGCACCCTGCTCAGCGTGTGCGACAGCAGCCCCAGCACCAGCGACATTCTCCCGCTCCGCCATGGGAGAGCGCGAAACGGGCCCTCGCGGCCACCGTCCTCCGCCAGCGGGAGCGGCTGAGGGGCGGAGCCTGACGGCGATGGGCGGGGCCACGCCACGGAGCTTCCGCTCACTGTGGGGTGTGGCGCTGGCGCGGCTGTTGCCCGTTTCCCGCTGTTGTTGACCCCTCTCCGGTACCGCGGCGCCGTTAGGCCCGTCCGCTCCCGCACAAACACCCCGTCCCGCCGGGCTTTGCCCCTGGGAGCCGCACGCTTGGCAGCGGTCAAGCTTCTAACGGGCCATGTCGGAGGGAGCCCGTTCCAGCTTCCTCAGGCGGCTCAGCCGTTCGCAGGGCCTGCGCATAGGCCGCCGGAGGCAGCCGCCTGCCTCGGTCCCACCGGCCTCAGGCAGGGCAGGGGACGGAAGCGACATCCTCGCCCGCGGCGGCTCAGAGAGACTGCAGCTCCCAGCGGGCATTGCTTCCCCGCCGGGCAGTGCTGGCCCGCGGGGCCTGCTGGGAGTTGTAGTCCCGGCGCGGGACTGGTGAGCGCCGTCAGCTGAGAGGAAGGAAGGGATGTCCCGCCCAAGATGGCGGGGTGCCGGTAGGCCGGTGGCGGCGGCTCCCTGAGGAGATGGAGCGGGCGAGGCGGGAGCTGCGGGTGCTGCTGGCGCCCCTGTCCCGGGACGCGCGGGGCTCCCTGAGGGACGCGGCCCGCGTCCGGCTGAGCAGGGGCCAGGACGCTCTGGGCAGCCTCCTGCTCCCTGGTGGGATCTACCTGGAGTCCCTGGTGCCGGGCGGAGGCGGCCGGACCCGGGGCAGCGTCCTCCCGGGCGCCTGGGCTGAGTAAGTGACGGGGTGCGGGCAGGGCAAGGGGAGGGGAGGCCGGACGGGGTTCCCGGCACCGCCCCGCTTCGGCGAGAGGCGCTGGGTGGGCCCCGGGGCCGAGGGGGCGCCCCGGGAGGGAGGAGGCGCATGGCAGGGGCTGAGGGGGCCTTACAGAGCCTGGTTTGGAATGGGAGGCTCTCCATGGAAATCCCTTTGCTGGAGGAGCGTTGGTTTATATGGAGTTGTTTGTTCAGCTGTGGGTGTATTAATTATGGGAGATCGCAAAGGGAAAAAGGCAAAGAAGAAAATGTGTGTGGTTTTGTCGAGTTTCTGGTGAACAGTTTCATAGTGCCCTGACTTCCCTGTCCGTGAGCAGGGGCAGGCCCCTGTGTGGGACAGCCGGCAATCACATGATGTTTTTCATCTGCTTTGGTAGCTCCTAATGCTGAGTCAAACCCACGGCCGCACGGCAATTCTAAGTGTCTGGTGACGAGCAATAGCAGCACTGCTGGGGGTTTCACTGAGGGGCCTCTCCCTGCTTCCTCTGCTCATTTCCCTCTTGTAGGAGAGCAGGGGTTGGAGACACACCTGGAGAGTTTCTCAGCCTGAGCCAAGGGGAGGCAAAGCGTATGGGAATGGGTAGAATGCTCTGACAGTGCTGGTGCTCCTCGTCCAGGTCCCGAAGCATGGCTCTGCTCACACTCATGCATGACTAAAAGAAAGAAACACACAAGGATAGAAATCCCCTGTATTCTTGAGAGGAAGAGCAGTAGGGATTCCTCCTGTGCTGTCTTGCATTGCAGCCTCTGCTGGGGTGAAATACCTTCTAGTGTTGGGGAGGGATGGGGCAGGGGCAGCATCTGCACTGCAGAAGGTTAAGGTTACAATGTCCATCATCCAGAACTGTTCAGTGTGTGGAAGGTGGAAAGAGTGAGGTCAATAAACATACTGACTGTTGTCTCTTCAGCTTCATGTGGGAGAGCACAGAAGATGATCCACAAGCGGGCAAGACCAAAATACTGGCTCTTGGTAAAAGTCATGAGCTGTTTGTCTATGAGTTCACTCTAGAAGATGGAAAATACAACCCAGCTTCCCTGCACAGTTGTAAGGAAGATACACTTAGAAAGCTCCTTGAAGTTAAAAACATTAGTGAGTACATTTCCATGTGTATTCTGTATTTGAAAGTATTCTACTTCTGCTTCTCCTGGTGGAAAAACGGAGGCAGTAGTGTTGCACGGGAGGGACATGTCCCACTCACTTGAAGTGATCAGTAGCAGCGTTAGTGAAAAATAATAGTGACATTTCTGTGTTCAAAGATGATGTTGTTGGGGGGAATGAAACTGTTGTCGGGTGAGAGGAAATTAAAATACACTTTAATAAATGATAATCATGCACCCTGCTAGCTCAAACTTCCCCTTTGATCCTGGAACTGATGGGAAGGAAACAGAGAAGGGTCTTCTCTAACCCTTCAAAGAATAATGATGTGTTCAAGCTCATGTTCTATGATTAGCACATGTAGTGTGCAGTTAGGATGCACAGTCACTGCAGGGCCTTTGATCTTCCACATGTTAAACAGTCTCTCTGGCTAAAGTGTTTATTTCCTAAATGTAGCTTTTATTTTCAGTGCTGACCATTATGTGGTGATTTTCTGTGTTCTCCGTAGTACTCCACATAAAATTCCAGCACTATTTTAGGCAGCTGTTGTAAAATTAGTGCTCCTGGTGTAGAAAGTGGGATTTAAACCAAAGCAAGTCATGTGTGTGTCTCCCTCCATGCCAACTTTTATTAAGGTGGTAGCAGAGGCAGTGAATTTGAGCTGCAATTTTCTTGAGCTGTCTTTACAAGTAGAAGGTACCAGACTATTATAATCCTAAAATACCTTTACATTTACAGGTGTGTCTTCGATTTTCTCTTTGAGGATACTGTCTTTTAAAAACAACAAGTGCACGCTGCTGCTCAATACGTTCATTGTTGTACACCTTGCCTTTTGTGGAGAAGACTCATCCTTAGAGACAAGCAACTGCTTTACCCTTGATTTACCTCCACAAGTTTTGGATAGAATCACAGATGTCCACTTCTGCAGAGGGATCCTGTTCCTGTTGGATAGCTCCGGCTGGATTTGTATCCTTTGTGGCAGTGAGTAGCTGTCAGTGTAAATGATCTGGAAGTACAAAGTTGTTTCTCTTTTCTGTCATGGTTAAGCAGAAACTTCTTCAAAGACATTGGGGCATCTGTTTAGAAGATGCTTTCAATAAAAGGTTGTGTAGGGAAATGCCAGATATTGCTGTAAAAATGTTGTAGTCATGTATCAAATGTAGTTTTACAATGTGCCACTGGGAATCATTTTCACACCAGAGTAATGGTTTTCAGTGTTTCGATAGGTGGGTTCCACATGTTGTGTTGTGCAGAGATGGACCGCAAAGTCAGCAGCAGGTCACCCTCTTCTACTTCTATGTCATTTTTGTTGCTCAGTCTCAGGCCTGGTGTTTCCTTTGACACTTTTTAAAGACATCTTTGACTCTTTTGATGGTGCAAATCTAGGAAGCGTCAATGTAGCACTGTGGCAGGGGGACGTGCAGGGTGAGGCCATGGGTCCAACCACTGCAGTGCCGCTCACTGCATTGAGAGTGTCTCACGATCTCAGTGCTGCTGTGATCATCAGTTCCTCCCACTGCGCCATCCTGGTGGATCTGAACATGTACTTCAGGTGTGTTTGTAGCAGAATTCCTGAGTGAAAGGTTTGAGTACAACTAACAAAAAGTGCCTGACCTTGGTACTGTAGTAGTTGAGGTGCTGAGCTTTTTAGTTTCAGTTCCGGCTCTGTGATAGAGGTGAAGTTTAACATATTTCTTTTCAGACAGTTCCCTGAGCATTTGCTCTGTAAGAGAGATCCTGAAAAACTTCCACTGAAGCCTCCTGAAGGACTTGATGAGGATGACCTTGCTAGTTCTGACTATAGCATGCAGCTCCTGTCCTTGCCTTTCCGCACAGACAGGTAGGTACATAATGAACATACCTCTAAACCAGGCTGGGGTTTGCCTCCTTTACATCACTGATAACAAACTGCTACCTCTTCTTTAACTGGAGTTGTGGCAAGTAAAATCAGCTCACTTTCCTTTAAATCTTTTGATGTTAGGAAATGGGCCGAGACAAGTTTACATATGTCATGCAGCAGCTTCCAAATTGTAATTGCTGTTTAGGGTGTTACTTTTAGTTTGAACCAGTATTGACAGATCTTTGTATTCCAGGTACTTCACAGTTGTGTGTTTAGCACAGATAAGCGCATGTGTATTTTGTGTTCATGTAAAACTTTTTAACCATGTTGTGACCATTAGTATTAGAGGCATTAATATGGATAAAATATGTTAATTATAACTAGATGCAAGTGTAAGAAATACTCAATTCTGGAATTAATTTAATCTCACTTTTTTCTTAACCAGTGGGGCATTTTCTATGGAGAAAAGAAAATATTCTGCTAAAAATTCTCAGCTTGAGGGACATTGTCAGCTAATGCAGCTATGATCATTTAGCTTAGCTGCAAACAATATTTACATAGAAATAAACAGGACATGTGAAGGTTAAAATGCAAGGTGCTGTGTGGCATCTATAAGCTTAAAATACATGTTATTTAACTGAGAAAACTCATTATTCTTGGGGTAATACCTGGTGCTGTAATACATGTTATTTAGCTGAGAAAACTCATTATTCCTGGGGTAATACCTGGTATTGTAGGTTACTTGTTTCTTCACCCCAGGTCCTGGAAGGCACACTTATCCTCGTTGTATGATAAAGTAAGGAGAAGAAAACCAGGTTCTCCAGATGTGGTGAATGACTTGAATTTACCTTGGTACCAGTTTTTGAACCATCTTGAAGATCATCATCCTGAAATCTGTGAAGATTCTAAAACAGTGGTATCTTTTGTTCCATGGGTTCTTACCTGGGCACTGTCCAAGCCATCACAGAGCAGTGGTACAAACCCCAGGAATGCACCACAGCAATGGAAGCGAATCCCCAAAGAAGCACCACAAGAAGTGGTGAAACTGGAGTGTAAATTGGTAACTGGAGTTAAAGCCCTGTTTGTAGTACTGACAAATAACAGAGGGTTGACTCTTGCTCTCTGGGATTTCGAGTCGCAAGATGTGACCTATTACAGCTTTGGCAAAAATAGCGTGTATGTGGATTGCAGTGAGGAGCTGCCACTGTCTCTGCTTCTGACAGGTGAGGGGGTTTATAGAATTCTCCTGTAGCCTTCAGATAAAAGCCTTTTTTTTT